TCTGTATTTGGATTCATTGTTCGTGATGCGTCCCACCACTGCTGTGTGTCATCTGCAAATTTCACTATATGGCAGTTGGAGTGTCTAGCTGAGCAGTCACGTGTCAGCAGAGTAAACAGGAGGGGGCTCAGCACACAGCCCTGGGGCGAGCCAGTGCTGAGGGTGATGGAGGAGGAAACGATGTTGTGGATCCTAACAGTCTGAGGTCTGTTGGTCAGGAAGTCCAGAATCCACTTCCCCAGTGTGGGACTCAGTCCAAGAAAGGAGAGCTTCTGCACCAGGGTCTGTGGGATGATGGTGTTGAAGGCCGAGGAGAAATCTAGAAAGAGCAGAGTAAGTATTTCTGCTCTCCAAGTGGGTGAGGACTGTGTGGACCACCGATGAGACCGATGAGATGGCATCAGCAGTGGAGCGGTTATTAAATGGTATTTGCGAGGGAGTCTCCAAATATCTCAAGGGGTTCCAGTTTTCTTGTGTGAGGTGCATAGGCTCATAGCTTTTGTTGCTTGCATTTCAAACATGTTTCCCACTGCAAATTTTTCACTCACGATAGTCAAAGTTGTGGCATAGGCTCACGTTAATTTTTGTAAATTGTACGGCGCTAGAGGTGTATTGTTTAAAAACCTGCAAAAGATGTCTCCTTGAAGCAATATCTCACTGCCAAGGTGGATTCAAAGTGAGTGGAAGTGGGCAATAAAACAATGTGCACAGACAAAAAAACAGTTGTGCAAGCAACGCACATGAAAATAAGCCAAGACTGTCAAAAGATAGCTGTTCAAAACGCAGCCACGTGCTTGCCGATTGGTCGCAAACACTGGAATCAGTGAGACTGCAACAACAAATTCACCTGCTATCGCACAATTCTGAGTTGCCAATTAGACTCAGGCCCAGTAAGATAATACCTTAAACCACCAGTCTCAAAAGTTTCATAGTGATTAATGAAGACACTACTCTTTGGTTATTGGCAAGCACAATAGTGACAGCACCCATAGATATAGCACTTCTGTTGCAACCATGGGCACTTCCTGCAGGAGTTTCACAATAATTCTGCCGGGATAACCTCATATTTTGAAACTTTGTTTTGTAAAGTTTTTTAGAATGATGCCATCTATAAATTGATTTTAAGATTTCTGTTGATTTAAGACGACAGCAGCCCACTTTTGTCTTGGCCTCACTCAGGCAAGTGGTTAGCTCATCAATAAGTCGGATTTTTCGTTTCTTTTTCCAAAGTGTGGTAATTCAAAGAACTATCTATAACAGGTAAAATATTGACTGTTCATTACCTTCCCAAAGAACCCCATTTAAAATGCTGATCCACTGTTTTAAAGTCATTTAATTGTACAGCTATACTTTTCTCTAGTTGATGTACATTTTGTTGCTGGGACCAATTCAGGAGCAAGGACTGATTTCCATTACAGTAGTATATTTCACTCAGGTTCAAAGTGGAAATTTTACCCCTGCTGAAAAGTTTATAAAAATGTTTGAAGGATCAATCATCCAGGTAGATAACAACAAAAATGGTTAAATCATGTCATCTGGACCAGTTTCTTTAAGTGAGAAACGTTTTGTCACCCATCCAGAGGACTTCTTCAGTTTGAGGCCTGCCAACCAGGTCTGTCTCATAGGTCAGCCACAGACTGAGGAAGTCCTCTGGATGGGAGACGAAACATTTCTCACTTAAAGAAACTGTTCCAGATGACATGATTTAAACGTTTTTTGTTTATAAAAAGTTGAACATTTATGATCTTCAGCTGTTGAAAGTAAGAAATTAAATTACCCAGATCCAGTTCAATGCCCTGTTACACACCTCAATGTGTGAAAGAATATGTATTATTTCATGTAAAGATTGGAAATTCATAACAGGAAGTGTTGTGTTTTTGTGAACCAGAAATTCATTGTAGGACGCCTTGAAGATCGTAAACGAAGTTAAAGAGCGGTATATAGGCACATACCGTAACATTTTCACACAGCACTCATGTCAGAATCACAAGTTTAAAGTTCTTAAACAGAAAATTAATCCATGTAAAAATATTTTACAATTTTGCAAAATCCTTTCAAACTTAAATGTTAATTCAAATACATGTTTTAGTTGTTCAAACAGGCCCCTGCAGAACCTCTGGTGTCTGAAAAATAATATCCATTTAACAAAATAACTAGCAGGAACTGAGACCTCAACCATCCACACCATCTAAGAGTGTCATTATAATCAGTCCAGTAGTCCATTAGATATTTTGCTAACACAGAAACGGAGTTGACTCCAATAATAAATGACAGTTTTAAATAATAATCTCATTTGTTCATTTAGAGCTCAGTGTTGGGGATGATACACGGTTACCAGATTTGACTAGAATACAGTAGTCCCTTGTTTATTGCGGGGAATCTGAACCCTGAAGACCTATGATAAGTAAAAAGCCACAAAGTAGGAATAGTAGCACAAGTAGTAAGTAGTAGTTCGTTATATATAAGTGAGTTTTGTATAAAAGTGTTTTAAACCCTTCCCACACTCTTGCAATATTGTAAACACACAAAATGTCATGATTTCAGTTCCCTGTCTTGTCTGCTCTTAGCCACGCCCACTTCTTCACTCTGCATGGAGAACAGCTGATCAGCTGCAGCAGAAAGTTTATCCTGCAGCTCTGGGCTCTACAAATGTGCAGCAGGTGATAAATAATTTTAAATAGTTTATTATGAATAAAAATTCCATGCCGATCATGCGGCTCATCCATTAATCAGCCAATTGTGTCATGTCCACTCTTATTTTGAAAAACCATGATAGAGTGAGTCCATGATAAACGAACCACAGAGTAGCGAGGGACTACTGTATATGTAAAATGGACTTTCCATCCATCCATCCATCATCTTTTACCCGCTTCTTCCTTTTCAGGTCACGGGGATCACTGGTGCCCATGTCCAGCAATCACTGTGCGAGGTGTGAGGGACACCCTGGACAGGTCCTCAGTCCATCTCAGGGACACACAAAGACAAACGAGACAAACAATCATTCGCTCTCTCACTCTCACCTAGGGACAATTTAGAGTTACCAATCAGCCTAACATGCATGTTTTTGGTCTTTGGGAGGAAACCGGAGAGAAAACCCATGAATGGAGAGAACATGCAAACTTGGCCCAAAACGGCTCCCAGGCCAGGATTTTAACCGGGGCGACCTGCTCGCTGAGAGGCAACAGTTCTACTGCACCTTTGACTAAATATGACAATTTTTGTGTTAGCTAAGGTTGCTTTGCTGTGACAGCCATCTTGAAACTGGTCGTCTCCAAATGTTAATGAGTAGTAGATGTCCATCAAAAGATTCTTCAGCGCTTGATTGAAATCTTTCTGGTGGTTTGAGAGATTTTTTACAAAGAAGCGCAGACGTGGGAAAAAACATTATCGCCAACTTGTTCCCTTTCAGCAGAGCGTCATGATTAGACACCCTGGTGCGCATCTTGTCAAATCAGGCTTTTTATAGGTTCAGTTCTTGTGCAGGAAAAGATTAACTTCAATTGCTGCTACTTTTGTACTTCATTAGCTAATTTAATTACCTCATGTTAAATAGCCATGAAATGGGCACTTTAGGGTTTGGGATATTGGGATAGGGAACGACTTGCTCCATGCTGGTTATTCAGCACTGATAATTATGTAAACTATATGTGTAGGAGGATGCACCCTGAGGTTAGCCAGGCATTAGCTGTTTGCTCTCTTGTAAATGAGTCCTCGAGGCTCAATGGGATTTACCTGTCTAAATAAAGGTTGAATGGAGTTTGCAACAACGCGGTCCAGAGAAATGAAGGCATATAAAATAGGGATGCACAATATTGGATTTTTGGCCGATATCCGATATGCCGATATGTTAAAACTTATTTGGCTGATAACCAATACCAATATTTTCCCCCCTAGAGCTATAGAGACAACATAGCTTTCTCTGCTCTGGAATTAAAATATTACATTATTCTACATGGTCTTTGTCTTTTTTCCTCTGGTCTTTTTTCAGGTCTTTCTTGTAAATGAGTCCCCCGAGGCTCAACGGGATTAACATCTATAAATAAAGGTTGAATGAATTAATGAATTTGGCCTGCTACCAAATGCAAATGCCAAAAAGGTGGCTGAAAATGATCTAACACCATATAAATATATAATATATATATTTTTTTAAAACTGTGCCTTTTATATCCATGAGTTATTTTGATGGAATGGCTGATGTCCGATATTTAACTTTATCGCTAATATTGGCCGATACCGATACCATGCTGATATTATCACGTATCTTTAGAATAAAATGCACAGAACAGACTTTGTGCAAGAAGAACTACAGCTAATATAACCAAGCAATAACCAAGCTTGTGTCTTTGTGAGTTTAATCAGTTGACTAAACTGTTAGCAAAATATCTCATCAATCACTGAACAGACAACTCATCATGATTTTAAAGGTTAAATTGGCTATAACTTCACCTTTTATCAACAGACGATCATGTGAAACTTTGGCGTGAAAGGCAAACAGTCAGTGGAGCAGCAGTTTGATGCTGTGAGGGTAAACAACTGGTGAGGATCAGAGCAGCCAGGCCTGTTTTCATGCTCTCTCACACACGCGCGCACACAAAGCTAGTCACTGTGCAACACAATGGGCTTCATGGACAGAGTGAATGTAAACGTGTCAACATCTGCAACTCATCAATCTGCTTCCCTAAAGAAGAAGAAAGAAAAAAACGCATCCGCGCTGCACTCCCACGCGAGTCCAAACTGACCCTCGGAAGTGGACCACAGAAACGCCGGTGGTCCCTTACAGTAAAGGTCTGCATGTGTGTGGAGTGGTGCTGGTGGAGGTGGAGAGGTGAGGGGGAGTGGGACCGAACCCTTCGCGCATCTGGACCAGGTTCGTTCATGTCCCATCCAGATGCGCAACGAGGCGCAGGAGCTTGGAAAGGAAGGAATAGGGCTGGGGGGTGGGGGGTGTCCTCCTGTTTAGAGGCAAATAATAATAATAAAAAAAAGAAAAGGCATCTCACCCATTTATGTCTCCCGGTGTGCTCGTAGTGCTCCTGCAGGGTTGTTGGTCGCCTCAGGTGGGGTTTTATTTGGACCGAGCCGCAGCCTCCAGTCTGCACAAATCCGCCAGCAGCTCAGACAGGAGGAGCGACACACGAAACCATATTCCTTCCTCTGTTTGTCTGTCCAGTGACACGACAGAGGAGGAGACACACAGAGCCGCCAGAAAACGGAAAAAGCGCTGATGATCAACTCTCTCGCTCTCTCTCTCTGACTCTCTCTCTCTCTCTCTCTCTCTCGTTGCCTTCAAGTGCATCTCGTAAAGTCCAACTCCCCTCTTTACATTCTCCAACATCTCCATGAGTAAATGATGCAGGGAGCGCGCGCTGTGACGCAGGGTGTAGAGCTATGCGTCACGCAGAACAGAAGGTGGCACAAACAGACAATCCCATTGCTCCTAATGAGATGAACTGAATACTTTTGAATGGGATTTATTAGTAAAGTTTAATAAAATGGAGTCTTCAGTAGTTTATGCACTGAGACTGACTCACATAAAATTATCTGTTTACACCAATACCCACGATGCTCTACATGATGGGATTTGTGTTCTCGTTCTTATTATAAATGATGATTTTAAAAATAGTATTTTTACCACCGCAGCTTTATATGAAGTGTCTGGTATTCTTTGACCTGTCACCCACCTCCTTTAATGTCAGAGAGACTTTTAGACAAAGTTTAGAAGCAATGATCGAAGGACTGATAAAGTTATCTCTTAAACCCCCAAATTATGAGAAATCTCATGCAAGAAGAGACTGTGCTGAATGACTCTCAGCTACTACCACTTCAAAATTTAGCTCAATATTGGCTAAATTTACAGAGTTGTAGTTTTGAATGTGTTAAATAATATTCATGAAGATTCCTCTGTTGCAAGTGTATATCCAAGGTTGCAAAGTTACATTCAAATATTAAAATATGTTCAACTGATTATGAAATATTTTGCTAACAGACAAACAGGGTTGACACCAACAGTTTATGCTAAACATCAAAGTTTATGCTCAGTAATCCAGGTACAAATCAAACAATGTTCAGTCAGGTCATCTGGATGGTTTCTTTTTTTTTTTTTTTTTTTTTGCTAAGACATTTTGTCCTTCATCCAAAGGACTTCTTCAATCTGAGGAGACACCAAACAAATTGAGTCCCTCAAACAGCTCACTCCCATAGTGGGGAAAAAAAAAACAGTTTGCTAGTGCTAATATGGCATCCGAGGCCCGTCCTCTTCCCCACCAACTCCTTTAAGGTAGACCATGCCAAAGTAATTCAAAGCACCAAAGTTCATGCACAATAATCCAGGTACTGTATAAATCCAACAGTGTTCAGTCAGGTCATCTAGACAGTTTATTATTATTATTATTATTTTTTTTTGCTGAGATGTTTCGTTCTTAGCGAGCAGGTCCCTGGTTCAAACCCCGGTCCAGGGGCCTTTCTGGGTGGAGTTTGCATGTTCTCTCCGTGCATGTGTGGGTTTTCTCCGGGTACTCCGGTTTCCTCCCACAGTCCAAAAACATGCATGTTAGGCTGATTGGTAACTCTAAATTGTCCCTAGGTGTGAGTGAGAGAGTGAATGGTTGTTTGTCTCGTTTGTCTCTGTGTGGCCCTGTGATGGACTTGCGACCCGTCCAGGGTGTACCCCGCCCCTCGCACAGTGATTGCTGGACATGGGCACCAGCGACCCCCGTGACCCAAAATGGAATAAGCGGTAAAGAAAATGGATGGATGGATGGATGGATGGATGTTTCGTTCTTCATCCAAAGGACTTCCAAAAGAGTCCATGCTAAAGTTTGATCTTGCTCAGTTATGACTTAGAGCCCATGTTGTGAATAAATCTCAGATATGCACCAAACTTTAGTGCAATGTTTGTAAAACTGACTGAGTAATGATCATTTATGAGGATTCTAAAGTCAGTGAGCTGAGGCAGGCATCTTGAGTTGCATTGGTTCACAAGATGAACACACAATGATCACATGAGAGCTTCATTAAAATCAGTGCTTCATGAAATATTTTGCTAACTCTAGACAGGTGAACACAGAGACAAAGCCATTGTCACCATTGTCTTTCAGTGGCGAGTGAAAATTAATCAATAAATATCAATGTGGCTCTTTTTAAATCATCAGAATTTCAAGTTCAAATTTCTTTATAGTCATTCGCATCACATGTGGTACATGAGGTGGAATGAAACTGTGTACTCAAGGTCCCAGTTACACCCAAAAATATCAACAATATTAAGTATAAATAGAGACACTAAAGATCTAAGATATACTCTAAACACTAATAATTTAAAATAATACGGTATATTAAACAGCAGCCCGAACATGAGTCTGTGGTGAGCATATGCAATAAATGAATACAGCAGCATGAGATATTTGAGACAGGAGAATTATTGACATGAGACATGCAAATTTAGCAACACCACAACAATTTGTCCAGTAAGAAACAGTTTTAACCCATAATTTTGTATTTGGATTTGATTTTTGTTTGTCACTAAAAACTAGTAAACATTGATTAATCCTTATTTTTTTTTCAGCTGGGCATCGACGGATAAATTTAACTTATAGGCTAAATATTGATAAATTGGCTTTAGATAATAAGTTAACAAGTAACCAAGTGAGTAACATTGACAGGACTACTTGATAACCTTGCTGTGCATGATTTAATTTATCTTTACTAAAAACTTTTACCATTTAAAGTAATTTTATACATCAGGACTGCATTTCACAAACACTATTCAATAATATAATACATGTACAATAATACGTGCTAACCTGATGAAAGCTGCAAACACATTAGTCTTTTTTATTTATTCTGGCTCCACTGCCTTCAGCTTATATGGTGAAATAATTGTTTGAATAAAAAAAAATGTAACTGTGAGCATTGTATCTGTTGTAAACATTTATCCACATTTTACCTTTGATTCGTTTTATTTAAACCCTTGAGCCAGTGATGCAGGGGGTCTCAAGGTCAACAGCTCAAGGGCCAAACATCTGTCTGTACGACTGTTTAAGTTATGATTTAAAATCTGGTTTATTTGTTTTCATTATAGCAGATGAACATGTTTAACCCTGTCAGAGAGATATTATTGATCGGGATCACCACTATGACCACAATATTTGTCATTTCAGTTGTTTTTTATATGTCTACAGGTGTTTGCTGTTTTGTTTTATTTATTAAAATCTAGTTTTAATTTTAAAAGAGCTCATTGTTAAGCAAGACGGAATTCACCCACGGGTCAGGTGTGGCCCCTGGCCTTGCAGCTGATTATTATTTAGAGAATAAAAAACATTGACAGGAATCTCTCAGCAGCTGATTTATTCTGATGCTTAAGTTTACTATGGCAACAACAGTGTTGTCCTATAGTCTTGCTTGTCATAAGGAATATGTCATTTTAATTATTAGTCTGGATTAACTGCATGTCATTGTGTCATCTGGAGCATTACATAAAGAATAAAGCACATTTAAAGCAAGTAAATTACATTTCTGGAATCAATACTATAATATTTAACAATGATTGCATAAAGGTTGTAAAAATACCTGTTTATTATTTAAATACTATTTGAATATTTCATCAGAAATTTGATATTTGGGATTTTTTTGTGGTTAGGACATCTAACAGAAAACCTTCTGTCGGTGGGAATATTTATACAGTACAGTGTTTTTTCTTTTGGAGAATAATCGTCATCTTTCCTACTGTCTTTGAATGTGACGCGGGCAAACACCAAGTCTCGCGATAATTTTTTAAGGAAGCTACTCAAATGTGATTGAAGGGATGATTTTAACAGCCATGCCAGTGTCCTAAACTTGGTTTAAAAAAATCAGTTTGATATTTCATTTCCATCAGAATAAATAAAAAAAATTGAATTATCAGGCATTTTCTTTGGTCAACATGACAGTGAAAACAATATGGACAAAAGCAAAACCTTCCCTAAAAATTCTCTGCTTTGATGTGTTGGGGTTGAAAAAACCTCATTGTGTGATTCAGAGTAATCTAACTCATTCAGTCAGAAACTTTCCTGACATGCTGATGTAGTGCTGTCATTCTCATGCCCACTCACAGAAGGAGAATGTGCTGTCAGCGTGAAATCATGCAGCTGCAGTCAGGAGAAAGATATGATGAATTTAGTTTCTCTGTATCAGCTGTTCTCAGCTGCTGCACTGATAAGAAAGGACAACTGATCTGATAATCTGTTGCAGAATGAAACATCATCAGATGTTTATGACTGAAGAGATAATTGACCTTGACTTGCTAACTACCGGTATGTGGACAAATATTGTACAGATCATTTCAGTTTTTGTATTTAGAATTTTTAATATGGCTAACTCACATTTCAGAAATTAAAATTTTGAATTTTAGACTGCAAGACAAATATTTGCAAATACTTGCAATTAAAAAAACAGCTCTTAAGATATGTCTTTGGTACTCCAGCACATTTTTTTTACACTTTAGACTACTGGTTTTAAAGTGTATACACTTTAGTATAGCCATGGGAAAGTAAAGTATAACCATGATCCAAATTCTTCTGCAGAATCTCAGTGAGAAAAGAAAAATAAGTTAGAAGCAGATGGCTGGTAGGCTTATAATGAAGGCAGAGTTCAGAAGTGGGAGGCAGGAGAAGCTCAGTGCAGAAAAAAAAAAAAAAAAAACTAAAGTAAAAATACAATATTTTAAAACACTTGTATTGCCATCCACTTTATTCAGGTAGTATTTGCCACATCAGAAGCACCAACTACTAATAATGTCTAACCCTGTAATGTTTAAAAAATGCTGCTGCCAGAGTTTAACTGGAGTTAGTAGGAGAGATCATATCGCTCCAGTTTTAGTTTCTCTCCACTGGCTCCCTGTCAGGTCCAGAATAGAATTCAAAATCTTACTTCTAACATTCAAAGCTCTCAACAACCTGGCTGCATCTTATATTTGATTCTTATTGTTCCATATTTTCCTAACACAGCACTTTGCTCTCAGACTGCAGGTTTACTTGTGGTTCCTATAGTTTCAATAAGTAGAATGGGAGACAAATCTTTCAGTTATCAGGCTACTCTCTTGTGGAACCAACTTCCAGTTTCTGTCTGTGAGGCTGACACATTATCCAGTTTTAAGACTCGGCTTACTTTCATCCATCCATCCATTTTCTTTACCCGCTTGTTCCATTTTGGGTCACGGGGGTCGCTGGTGCCCATGTCCAGCAATCACTGTGCGAGGGGCGGGGTACACCCTGGACGGGTCGCAAGTCCATCACATCGGCTTACTTTCCTTTTTGATAAATCCTATAGTAAGGGTTGGCTTGGGTTTCCTGAGCTATCCCTTAGTTATGCTGCTATAGGATTAGACTGCTGGAGGACTATGGCAAACCCTCAAATCCACGAATAGACACTTTTACAACACTTTCTCAGGCAAAAAAAGCCAGATTACGCTGTAAAATATGATGTAAATCCACTCAAAATGCCACTTCTTTACGCCTACCTTCTAAATGCCCAAAATTGCGGCATTTATTTTGGGCATTGAATGCCGCTTTTTACATGTCACGCCGTAATAAATGCTGTAATTTCACCACAATTTACGCCATCAAAGACGGCGTTTTCTTTGTGGTCTGTAATTGATAAGAAAGTATGGGGACTTGCAAAATTCAAGAAAACGCCGGTCAGAGCAGATGTGCTTGTCCTGAGCCTGGTTCTGCTGGAGGTTTCTTCCTGTTAAAGGGAGTTTTTCCTTTCCACTGTTGACTTTGTGCTTGCTCAGGATGGGAGACTGCAACAAAGTGAAGATTCAACGTGTCTGCTGGCTTCCTTAGAAAAAGAACTTTACTAATTGGCTTTTATGTATGTGAATGTTCCTGTAAAGTGCCCTTAAACAACTTTGTTGTGATTTGGCACTATATAAATAAACTGAATTGAATTAATGATCAACATCAGAAGTGGTTACAGTTCTGACTGCTTCATCAGTTGACGTATACCCAAATTTGTGGACGCCCTTTAAAATTCAGAAGCTTTACATCAGTTTCCATTTGTATTAGTGCTAGTGTGTGCATTAATAATCCAAACAGTGGAGGCTGGATGGTAAAATAACCAAAGATTTACAACCTATCGGAGCGATTAAACATTGCTTATACTGATGTAACCAATCACACGGATCACCTCACGCTCATGCAGTCTGGGCTGCTGCTTTTAGGACACAAGTGTTTAACCAGTCACAGTCGAATGTAATCACCCTGAGGAGAAAAGTAAATTAAACACAAAGCTGACACCATCTGGGACAGTGCTGCTACTGCACAGGATGGTTGCGTGTATGACTGTTGTTGTGAAGAGAAACAGAGTAAAATCAGAGAAGACCAAATGGTGGAAGAGGAGGGAGGAAGAATGTTGTGAGGAGTCCAGAGAGGAAGCTGTGGACCAGGAAGTGGGAAAGATTATAGTGTGAAGTCTGGAAAGCTCTGAAAAGCTTTGAAAAGCTTGTACATATTCAAGAAGATGATCAAAATGTGTGTTTTTTTTTTAAATATTAAGTATAATGTGAGTTCATAAAAATTGTTTACCGTTGATCTTATATTTTAGCTAAGTTTTTTATTTTTTTTTATTTATTAATTCATCTTGCTTTTGTATAGTAATTTTGTTTGGAATATATTTTGGGGACAAGGGGCAGATATTATAAGAATTCATTCTTCTTCTGCTGCCTTTCATTTTATTTCTGTGATTGTATATCTTTTTTCTTTTCTTTAAATTGTATTATATTTGTTGTTTGGATGAAATGAAATGAATAAATAAAACATACATACAAAAGAATGAAGAAGGGGAAGGCAGCCGGTCATGATGACACACCAGTGGAGGTTTGGAAATTTCTTGGAGAGATGGCAGTGAGGTTTTTGACTCAAATATTCAATGGCATATTTGAGAATGAGAAAATGCCTGAGGAATGGAGAAGAAGTGCGCTGGTACCCATTTTTAAGAACAACGGTGATGTACAGAGTTGTAGCAACTACAAGGAAATGAATTTGATGAGCCACATGGTGAAGATCTGGGAGATAAATGTAGAAGCTAGACTTAGACGAGAGGTGACTATTTGTGAGTAGCAGTTTGGTTTCATGCTGAGAAAGAGCACCACAGATGTAATCTTTGCTTTGAGGATGCTGATGGAGAAGAACAGAGAGGGTAAGAAAGAACTCCATTGTGTCTTTGTGGATATAGAAAAATCATCTGACAGAATGCTGAGAGAGGAGGTGTGGTATTGCATGAGGAAATCTGGAGTGGCTGCCAAGTATGTTAGACTGGTACAGGACATGTATGAGGACAACAGGACAGTGGTGAGATGTGCTAGGAGTGACAGATAGCTTCAAG